AATAAATAAATAAATAAATATTTTTTTTCTTTTTTTTTTTTAGAACCAGGGATTGAACTCAGGTCCTTGCACTTGCCAGACAAGTGCTTATTCTACTGAGCTATCTCCCTGGCCCCTTTTTATTAATTTTAATGAGAAAGAAATACAAATGAGACAGTTTCAAAGCAGGTTAGTAGGACAGTTACAATAATTAATACATTGAATATTGTTATCTTCATAGTTTTTCAGAGTATAAGATGCAGACATGGTATCCTGTCTAAACACTATTAGTACAAACCTTTCTTCTCATTGAATTAAGAGAAAGTAGAAGTATGTCTACCCTATTTGGTGTATATATGTGTGTGTGTGTGTGTGTGTGTGTTGTGTATTTTTTTCACCACAAAATGTTCCTTCATTTATATCCCCCTTTTTTGTTCTGTTTTGTCAAAGATGGGTGTTCCACTGCTATTAGAGAAGCTGTATTTGGAGAAGTATTTAAAGGACGTTTTCATACTTGATGACAGTTCAAATATTTTAAGTACTTGAATTCAGCAAAGTAATCTAATACAGTCCAATAGTCCATAATATTAGTGGATTATCAATCAGCACAACTGGCAATTGTCAGAAGTTGACTTGAGCCTTTTACAGCTCAGCATATTAATATGGCATTACTTTTTATACCTCATGATTATACTTTTTTGCTGGATGGCTAAGACCAAGTTAAAACAAGACCTATTTTTATTTTACTTTTTTATTTTACTATTTTCTTTTTTTTGTACCGAGATTTGAACTCTGGACCTCATGCTTGCTAGGCAGGTGCTACGTTGCTGAGCTACATCCCCGGCTCAAAGCAAGACCTATATAACTAAAAATGCAACTTCTGCATCTGACAAGGTCAGTCAAATCCCCTCAGGATTTACCCTGAAACCATGTACAGCACCTTGCAGATCTTTTGTCAGTGTCAGCTATCTGGATGAGTCATAGCCACTGCTTGACCAATTTGCTCTCTGTGAAAACCTGAGAGAATTTTTTCTCTCTAGGTGACTCTCCTTAGGCATACTATACATCGCTGATCACTTTCCTCTGTGGCCCCATAATCTCCTTGAACAGAAAATTTGGGACACCATTGAGTTACAGGATGTCATAGCACAGGTTCTTATGTCGAGTTCTCACTGACCTTGAAGGGCTAGGGCCAAAATAGTGGCTATCCTTGTAGCGCTTCTTTTTCTCTGATTTTTGGTCTGCAAATTGTAGTTATTAACCATTCAGAAGAGAAGCTTAATAATATTATTACCCTGTAACAGAGGCAGTTGAGCTTAACCTCACTATCTGTTTGAATATCAAACACCTTAGGCCTAACATGGAACTGGTATTTTTCAACAACCATTGATATTCTAAACTTTAAATCCCTATGGAAAGGGGAAAAAAACAATTACCTATTTTTACATAGAAATTTAGAAATCAAACCATATATAACATTGTAATAGAACAATCCTATGACATTTTTTTCTTGTCTCATTTTATTACCTTTTTTTTAAACAAACATTTACTTTAGAGTATAGTAATAACTGATATGAAGGGGCCGGGGAGATGGCTCAGTGGAATGAGCGCTTCCCTGGCAAGCGCAAGGGCCCGAGTTCAATCCCTGGTTCCACCAAAAAACCAAAAAAAAAAAAAACAAATTGATATGACGTTAGAATCAGTACACATTTAGAAGACCAAAATAATAGGTATTTCAACTATTGTTTAAACTAATTTGAATGGTAGCATCATGCAATACAGCAACCACTGTTTTTTGTTTGTTTTTTTCCACTGTTGAATTTCTATTACTTTTTTTGTTTTGTTTTGTTTTTTTGGCGGATCCAGGGATTGAACTCAGGCCCTTACACTTGCCAGGGAAGCGCTTACTCTACTGAGCCATCTCCCTGGCCCCTTCTATTACTTTTTTTAAACATTTATTTATTTATTGTGTGGGTGGGGGGCAGCTCAGTCCACCAGGGGGCAGGGCGGGCTGGCATGTGGTGCTGGGGGATCGAACTGTGGTCCCTGTGCTTTGCCAAGCTTGTTCCAAGTAGGTGCTTTAGACCACTGAGCCATCTCACCAGCCCTCTATTACTTTTTTAATTGAAATTTT